TTAGATTAAGTTTTTTCTTGTCTCCTGGTTAAAAACTATTTCTTCGCTTGAGTTACTCTTGAATGACTTCTATCTAATAATGTTATTTCAACACTATATTCTCCTTCCACAACTTTATCTCAAATTGAAATTACTAAGAAACAAACGCTAATCCACTTATCCTATATTATATATATATATTATATATATTAATATATTTATATATATTTATATATATATATATATATATATGTGGCGTTATGGGATGGTGCAATCTATAACCACCGTCTCATGTGTGAACACTACAGGAAGCAGCGAGGATACAGGCGTGTAAGGCAGAGGTAGCAGAAAGATTATATTCCTGTGCAAACGATTACTGACATTTTTTGGCATTTCATGAACATTTTATTTACATCAACCTTTTTTATTTTATTGCAGTTATGACTTGCGCTATGTATTTGTAAACATAGCGTGGAAGAAATTTCATTACTGAAACAAGTCTTTGTACATTTATAGGTCAATATTTGGGGGAATGATGAAACGTTAGCCTCAATGGCTTTCCATTAACGAGAATATTAAAACACTTTCTTTTTTGCACATAAACAAAAGCGTTCTCGGCAAAACGTGCTTCTTTATTATATTGTTGCAATCTTGGACAGTCTTGTTGTCGTGAATAATTCTAAGCCAAGTGTGTGTGTGAGAGAGAGAGGGAAAGAGTTTTTCTGTGACATGTTTCAGTGTGCGAGTGAGTTTCATCACAAGTCAAGTGTCACGGTTGATAGACAGCAAGGAAATAAATGAAACTTGGTTGATTGGAAAGTCCATCAAAAAACATTGAAATACAAAAAAGCAGCGCCAGTGCCAATAGATCTCTTTGTTCTTAAATCTTCGACACAATTTTTAAGTATGTTTTTCAGATCACAAATTAAAAAAAAATCTTTATTCTGCAGACAGATGCAACATTCAGCGACTGCAGTTCATGGAATCACTCATGCAAACAATTTGTGAAATTTAATCTAATGTTTATATGTGGTGTCGGGTGATCCACGAGATTTAAAGTGACCTTTGTGCCAATACGGTGAAACCTTGTCGAAGCCAGTAGCAGAAGATAATTACGGTGAAGTACCGATTGCATGTAACACAGCTAAACAATATTTCCGGTTCAAATAGAGTTTGGTACTCAGAGAAATACTGTGTCTCTCCGCCTCGTTATTAACCGACAATATTGTTGAAAGCTTTCGGCTCCGTTTGGACAAATCCCCTTCATTGCGTGCTGCCTGTGGCTTTTACTAGAAGCCACCATATTAGTCGTGTCAGCCTCTTTAAATCTCGTGGTTTGCCCGGCTTTAAAATTAAAATCTATAATGTCAACGAATAAAAGGAATGTTGCTTTATTTTCAGAAGCCATTTTCTTATTTATGCGATTTTGCAGTTTGTTCTCCGCACAATTCTGACAAGCAGTTAACCCATGATCTTTTGTTGCTATAATCTGCACTAGTTATAGGCTAATTCAATATTTCTCCCCCTTTATTATTATCATATTATTCTCCTCTGTATCCTCATCTTCAATGTACCTTACCTTTTTCTTCTCTGAATTTTTTTTCTTCTCTTGTTCTTCCTTTTCCTTCCCTCCCCCTCTTTCTTCTCAACCTTAGTCTCATCCTTCTCTTTCTCATTGTCTTCTTTTTTCTCTACGTTTTTTTCTCCCCTACCTTTTGCTCTTCAATGTTATTGGTCATCAATTACAGGGGGCTGCAACACTAAATCGTTGTGCGAAATTAGTCGTTTAAGACGTCAATCGGGTTGCGCAATTCATAATTGACAAAGAACAAGATTCGCGATCGAACTCTACTGCTGGATTTCAATGGATATTAGAATGAAAAAAAAAATCATGTTTTACTTCAAGAATCGAATCTGATTTGGCTCGGTGCCCGTGTTGCAGACCGCCTGACATGCCGCCAAGTGCTCAACTTCATGGTGCTGCTGGGCTTCATGTTCAACTACATGCTGCGCGTCAACCTCACCATCGCCATCGTCGCCATGGTGGTGCCGGCGAACAAGACGGCGCCCAACGCCACCTCTGTGGACGGCGCCACCAACTCTTCCGCTTTCGACCTTGACCTCAACGCCTCCTTCGCCAACGCCAGCAGCGACGGCGGTGGTGGCCAGCAGGTGAGACTCGCTGAGTAACAACACCGACCAAATAAGCTTGTTTAAGCTTCCAATTAAAGTCTAATAGTGATAAGCAATTTTTAAAAATCCTATATTCATGTAACTAATTTAGTTTTGGCTCGCCCTTCACAGGCTTATTAATCTGGTTAGTACAATTTTCATGTTTGTCTTGTTTTATAAGTCGGTGTTTTGAAATATTCAAGTATTATAATCCCATATATATGCTCCTGCGCCGTAATTTGTCATTGTTGGCTTACAATGCTGGCATCTGAATATTGATGCGGGTGGGTTTTAAATAATTCGTGATATTCGAAGAGGTACCTGAAAATCTGACGCTGAAAGCTTGTGTATATGAAAGACATCGTAAGCAGTTTAGAGTACTTTTTAGACCTAATCAGTAGCCACTAACTTACCTAGTGTCATAAATCACACCTATTAACGCATCTTCCAAATAAATCTCTACAAGTATTGAGGAAAGATTCATAGTATTTAAGTTATCTACGTATTTTAAGACATGTTTGAAAGGAAATGTAGGAGGATAAATCGATGTATCTACGAATTAGTGTTGGGTAGGTTTGAGTGAAAGTTCCACTATTCTCAATAGATAAGGCAAATGCTAATACTTTCCTTGGTGTCTATCTCAGAGGTCAATGGAGCCTGTAAACGTTTCTCTTTCAATGATGAGTACCTATATGAAATTTTCAATAGTAAAATATATCAAAATCTTTTATTGTTCTAAAGTTGTGTTTGTAAGATTCATTCACATTTTCTGTTGTTGCCTCTTTTCGTTTTGTTTTACAAATTGCATTAGAACACTCATTGGAATGAAAAAACGTAGGATCCAGTTACATTAGTTTTTTTGATACAGCAGTATAAAGTTCTGGCCCTGAATGTATGTTGAGCGTGGAGTTTTATTGACGTCCAATGTTCAGTTCCTTGAACAAGTTAAATACTTCACGAAGATAAAATTTAAAGCGATTCCTTTGGAGAATATGTTTATTACAAAACTGTTATTGGTAATAACAAAAAAGAGTTTACACTCTTATATGAAAACACAAAAAATTGAAGAAAATAAAGAAAGTTTCAGCAAAGAAATTATAATTACTTGGAATTTATCTTGTCATCCCCGAGATACTTTTATAATCAAAATATTACGCCGCTCCTAAATTCGCTTTAAATGCAGGTTTATAAAGAACGAGAGCAAAACACAAATACGATTTACAAGAGAATTACGATTAATTTGTCTACATAATTCGTAGTGTTACTGAGCTCTTCCTCAAAGGTGTTACTCTTGGCAAACCTACCCGTGAGTGTTTATGTGTGTTATAACGAACGTTCAATTTACATAGCTTTTTGATGTGCAAGTGAAAATAGGCTAATGAAGAAAGGAGGAAAATAAAGAAAAGCATTAAGGGAAATGCTGGAAAAAATATGGCTCTAGGAAAAGAGAATGGCCGATAAGGGAGACGCAGATATGACTCTTGCGAAGGTAAAGAGTTGGTCGGTATCCAACTCGCTTCTTCGTAAAATACTTGTAAATCTTTCCAGAGGTTCTTATGTCCGCCTGCTGAATGGTTCCATATGTTAATGTGTTTTGTTTTCTCTTTTTGTTCAGCGACCGGTTTTCACTTTAAGCGTATGTGGACTTGTTTGTATATTTCTTTAATTCTACTTCTATTCATCGTGGTATTGCAACTTCATGATAAACTATCACTGAGTAATATTATTTTCAGACCGTTTAAATACATGACAGAAATTTCTTTCAGTATGTTCTAAAAAATATGCTTCTACATAAAACGGCGTTAATCAGGAGACCCGGGTTCTATTTCCAGGCCAGGAGACTAAGTCTTTGAACAGTTTGAGTTATTAAAATACATTTGTAACACAAAAAAGGTCACACCATGGACGCAGTTTGGTGTGCGGAACAAATTTTTCACACAATAGTTGTCTATGCAATAAGTATCTAAGTGATAACAATCTAATACTATTCAATTATGTGTTTATATGTTGTTTCTTTTTCTGTTTTCTCATCCAATCTTCTCAGCTAATCGAAAGGACGTTAATTATGAAGTTTTGTTTGTCCGACCACTTTTAGTATCTGAATTTTATACTACATAGATACTTTCTCAAGAGGAGATCCCGGCTAAGCGTCGATGCATGGGTAGAAGTATTCCTTTCGAACATAATAAGTCAAAAATGTTACTATCCTCCGCCCTATTTGTAAACGTAAATCCTGTATTTAGTGTTCAAAATGGTCGGTAATGCTATCCTATATTTATAATTAAGATACAAATAATGCTGTTTAAGTTTAAAAAAATTAATTAGACCACACTAATTATTCGTTGAATTTATATTTTTTCTACGTTTTTGTTTTCTGTTTAATTATATTGGTTATTCGCCTTTGGGTGCATTCGCCTTTATTTCTTGATTCGAACTTGTAATTAACAAAAATGATTTTGTTCTGAGATTCTTTAAATTACATATGCCAACTTGACCCAAAATCAAATATATTAAACACATGTTAATAATGCATATTCTTGAAAACAATTGTGGAGGTGACTCTACTTTCAAAACATCATATAGCGAACGTGAATATGGACAAAAGCGCACTCTTTATCAATTATGACGTATACATCACCCATTTTTCTGCAAAACTTTCGTTACTCGGAAATTACATTCTGTAGTTATAACAGGTATCCCTATGGAGTACTTGAGTAATTCCCGAGTGTGCGTATGTGCATTTGTCCGGATGTGCAGTTTCGTCACTCACGGTTTGACCATTACCCATCCAACAATCGAGACGTATGAGGTGGCATTCGACGAGTCTCGGGCTCCTGAAAATGTGTTTTTGATTTCAGGCAGAAAAATCTCAGAAATTTTCAAAAACATGCTTTTGCGTCTTTTAGCGCGGTATTCTTAGTAGATAGACGAAGAACTAAACCAATACCACCTAAATAGAACTATGCAGGAAGCGTTGATTGAACCCCAGTACTCCGTGGTTACTTACAGTGCACGACATCATTTTCTCCCATGAAGATGGCAACGCTAACTGTTGACAAACGAGCAATTTCTAATCTGAATTCTGCCGTAGAATTTGTTGTGAATTCGTAATATTCGAATTTCGTGCATATTTTTATTACAAATTTGCAAATTACCTTGGAATATTAAATTTGATGAACATCAAGTAAAAACGGAGAAAAGAACAGTAATTAATACTACTGAATACATTTCGTAAGTGTGAAAAGATGGATTTTCAATTTTACTTACAACGTATTCACGTAAACTTACAAAATAGTAATATTTTATGTATTTATATTTATTCGTCTTAAGAATATAAATCAGACTGAGTTTGTGATGTTTTAAAATCTTAAAGAATTAGGGGACAAAAATATGGTAGTGTTAAGCAACTCAGGAGAATCAAATGTAATTGTAGAAGATGTTGCCACAGAATTTTTAGAACTAATTCTTGCGATCTTTTATCAGCAATAGAGAATAATGCAGAAGAACCTGTTACAGTAGATCACTTATATTCATATTAAACAAAAGTAAAAAATATAGCCAACCAAATTATAAATATTCGCA